GACACACGCCCCTGCACACTGCCCGGCCCAGACTCACCACGCTCTCCTCCACGGACACACGCCCCTGCACACTGCCCGGCCCAGACTCACCACGCACTTCTCCCAGACTATGGACATGCGCTCCTCCACGCCGTTGGTGCCCTCCGGGATCAATGTGAAGTTGTCTTTGCCGACGGCCTTCTGGGCAGTGGTGAAGGTGCAGTGTGCACTGCCGGTCACCTGGAGGTCCCCGCTGGGAACAGGCAGGGTCAGGGGCCGGGGCGGCCCTGCCTGCCGTCAAGAACTAGGGTGTTCCCAGCCACGGGGCACTGAGGAGTCCGAACTGGCAAAGAAGGTGCCCGTGGGGAGGGCAGCCGCGTGGGCGGAGCCACGGCAGGGGGTGGGGCAGCTCCCAAGGAGGAAGCCCCATTGGCGCCACGGCCTCCACACGGCTCTGGCCTGGGCGACTGCTCACCTGGACAGCAGGGCGCTGAGGTGGTCTGCGGTGGTGGGGTCGGGGCTGATGGGGGGCGAAGTGACAAAGGCCGCGGCCTTAGCCCAGTTCTTGCTCCAGTAATGTGAGCCGTCCGTGCCCAGGCTGGCAGTGATGGGCTCCCCGAACACAACCACCCCTGTGGAAGGCAAGACAGTGCAGACCTCCCCCCTCCCTGCAGGGCCTCCCAGCCCCCCAACCCCCCACCGCCTCTAGCTTGGCAGAGGACCAAGTCCCTGGTTGGGACAGTGGTCGGCCCTGGGGTCTCCACGGGAGGAGGGCTGACAGGACAGAGACCCCTCCACACCCAGGGCACCCGCTGCATCACCAGAGTCCAGCCAGCCACTGCTGGCCGCTGGCCAGCCCCGGGCTCTGGGACGGGCCTCACTCAGAGTTCTGGCCAGGCCGATGGGTGGGAGAAACGCTGGGTCAGGGTGGGTGGGGCTGCCGGGCCGCTGCCAGTATCCTGGAAGCAGGGGACAGGGCGGTGTCCCCACCTCACACCGGCTCCCGCCCCGAGCCACTGGCCAGGGCAGGGCAGGGCTCAGGACAGGTAGGGAGGGCAGGCACCACTGGGCACCAGACTCCGGTCCTGCTCGGGGCCCCACCTTGGTGCTGTCCAGTCCCTACTAGCTAGCTAGGCATACGTGCCTACCTCCTGCTGGCTGGGGTGCTCCACGTGAGGAACCCCAAGCCTTGCAGAGGTACCTCAGCTCCAGATGCCACAGCTGCTGTGGACATGCACTGCCACCCCCGCCCCAGAATGGGGAGCCCCTCAGACACAACCTCTAGTGCCCCCCACACTGGCCAGGCCCCCGTGCTTCACACAGCCCCCACGGGAAGCTGCTGTCCCCCACACTGGCCAGGCCCCCGTGCTTCACACAGCCCCCACGGGAAGCGGCTGCTCCGACAGCAGGAGGCGGGGTCCGCATCTCCCTTGCTGCACCCCTGGTCTAACCCAGAGAGCAGGTGCCCAGGGAGCTGGGCCACCCACAGGCCTCCTGTCAGGCCCATACCCGCCACCAGAGGGCCTCGGGCAGCAGAACTGGAGGGGGCAGCACTCACCCCTGCGCTTGGCGGGGGACAGAACTCACCCCTGCGCTTGGTGGGGGGACAGCACTCACCCCTGCGCTTGGTGGGGGGGGCAGCACTCACCCCTGCGCTTGGCGTGGGGCAGCACTCACCCCTGCGCTTGGTGTGGGGGCAGCACTCACCCCTGCGCTTGGTGGGGGCAGCACTCAGCCCTGCACTTGGCCGGGGGCAGCACTCACCCCTGCACTTGTTGGGGGGCAGCACTTACCCCTGCGCTTGGCGGGGGCAGCACTCAGCCCTGCGCTTGGCGGGGGCAGCACTCACCCCTGCGCTTGGTGGGGGGCAGCACTCACCCCTGCGCTTGGTGGGGGGGCAGCACTCACCCCAGCGCTTGGTGGGAGCAGCACTCACCCCAGCGCTTGGTGGGAGCAGCACTCAGCCCTGCGCTTGGTGTGGGGGCAGCACTCACCCCTGCGCTTGGTGTGGGGATGCAGCACTCACCCCTGCGCTTGGTGGGAGCAGCACTCAGCCCTGTGCTTGGTGTGGGGGCAGCACTCAGCCCTGCACTTGTTGGGGGGCAGCACTTACCCCTGCGCTTGGCGGGGGCAGCACTCACCCCTGCGCTTGGCGGGGGCAGCACTCACCCCTGCGCTTGGCGTGGGGGCAGCACTCAGCCCTGCGCTTGGCGTGGGGGCAGCACTCAGCCCTGCGCTTGGTGGGGGTG